GACTGTTTGTTGACTGTGACTGTTTGCTGACTGTAACTGTTTGCTGACTGTGACTGTTTGCTGACTTTAACTATTTGACTGTGACTGTTTGCTGACTGTAGCTGTTTGCTGACTGTAGCTGTTTGCTGACAATAGCTGTTTGCTGACTGTAGCTGTTTACTGACTTTAACTGTTTGTTGACTGTGACTGTTTACTGACTGTGACTGTTTGCTGACTTTAACTGTTTGCTGACTGTAACTGTTTGCTGACTGTAGCTGTTTGCTGACAGACTTTAGCTGTTTGTTGACTGTAGCTGTTTACGGACTGTAGCTGTTTGTTGACTGTAGATGTTTACTGACTTTAACTGTTTGTTGACTGACTGTTTACTGACTGTGACTGTTTGTTGACTTTAACTGTTTGTTGACTGTAACTGTTTGCTGACTGTAGCTGTTTGTTGACTGTAGATGTTTACTGACTGTAGCTGTTTCCGACTTGTTGACTGTAGCTGTTTGCTGACTGTAGCTGTTGACTGTAGCTGTTTGTTGACTGTAGCTGTTTACTGACTTTAACTGTTTGTTGACTGTGACTGTTTACTGACTGTGACTGTTTGCTGACTGTAACTGTTTGCTGACTGTAGCTGTTTGTTGACTGTGGCTGTTTGCTGACAGACTGTAGCTGTTTGTTGACTGTAGCTGTTTGTTGACTGTAGCTGTTTGTTGACTGTAGCTGTTTGTTGACTGTAGCTGTTTGCCGACTTGTTGACTGTAGCTGTTTGCTGACTGTAGCTGTTGACTGTAGCTGTTTGTTGACTGTGGCTGTTTGCTGACAGACTGTAGCTGTTTGTTGACTTTAACTATTTGACTGTGACTGTTGACTGTGACTGTTTGTTGACTGTGACTGTTTTCTGAATGTAGCTGTTTGCTGACTGTAGCTGTTGACTGTAGCTGTTTGTTGACTGTGGCTGTTTGCTGACAGACTGTAGCTGTTTGTTGACTTTAACTATTTGACTGTGACTGTTGACTGTGACTGTTTGTTGACTGTGACTGTTTGTTGACTTTTACTATTTGACTGTGACTGTTGACTGTGACTGTTTGTTGACTGTGACTGTTTTCTGACTGTAACTGTTTGCTGACTGTTACTGTTTGCTGACTTTAACTATTTGACAGACTGTTTGTTGACTGTGACTGTTTGTTGACTGTGACTGTTTGTTGACTGTAACTGTTTGTTGACTGTGACTGTTTGTTGACTGTAGCTGTTTGCTGACTGTAGCTGTTGACTGTAGCTGTTTGTTGACTGTGGCTGTTTGCTGACAGACTGTAGCTGTTTGTTGACTTTAACTATTTGACTGTGACTGTTGACTGTGACTGTTTGTTGACTGTGACTGTTTTCTGAATGTAGCTGTTTGCTGACTGTAGCTGTTGACTGTAGCTGTTTGTTGACTGTGGCTGTTTGCTGACAGACTGTAGCTGTTTGTTGACTTTAACTATTTGACTGTGACTGTTGACTGTGACTGTTTGTTGACTGTGACTGTTTGTTGACTTTTACTATTTGACTGTGACTGTTGACTGTGACTGTTTGTTGACTGTGACTGTTTGTTGACTGTGACTGTTTGTTGACTGTGACTGTTTTCTGACTGTAACTGTTTGCTGACTGTTACTGTTTGCTGACTTTAACTATTTGACAGACTGTTTGTTGACTGTGACTGTTTGTTGACTGTAACTGTTTGTTGACTGTGACTGTTTGCTGACTGTAACTGTTTGCTGACTGTAACTGTTTGCTGACTCTGACTTTTTGCTGACTCTGTTTGCTGACTGACTGTTTGTTGACTGTAGATGTTTACTGACTAACTGTTTTCTGAATGTAGCTGTTTGCTGACTGTTTGCTGACTGTTGACTGTAGCTGTTTGCTGACTTTAACTGTTTTCTGAATGTAGCTGTTTGCTGACTGTAGCTGTTGACTGTAGCTGTTTGTTGACTGTGGCTGTTTGCTGACAGACTGTAGCTGTTTGTTGACTTTAACTATTTGACTGTGACTGTTGACTGTGACTGTTTGTTGACTGTGACTGTTTGTTGACTGTGACTGTTTGTTGACTGTGACTGTTTGCTGACAGACTGTAGCTGTTTTTTGACTTTAACTATTTGACTGTGACTGTTGACTGTAGCTGTTTGTTGACTGTGACTGTTTGCTGACTTTAACTATTTGACTGTGACTGTTGACTGTGACTGTTTGCTGACTTTAACTATTTGACTGACTGTTTGTTGACTGTAACTGTTTGTTGACTGTAACTGTTTGTTGACTGTAACTGTTTGTTGACTGTAACTGTTTGTTGACTGTGACTGTTTGCTGACTCTGACATTTTGCTGACTGACTGTTTGCTGACTGTGACTGTTTGCTGACTGTGACTGTTTGTTGACTGTGACTGTTTGTTGACTGTGACTGTTTGCTGACTTTAACTATTTGACTGTGACTGTTTGCTGACTGACTGTTTGTTGACTGTGACTGTTTGCTGACTTTAACTATTTGACTGACTGTTTGTTGACTGTAACTGTTTGTTGACTGTAACTGTTTCCTGACTGACTGTTTGCTGACTGTGACTGTTTGTTGACTGTGACTGTTTGCTGACTGTGACTGTTTGCTGACTGTGACTGTTTGCTGACTGTGACTGTTTGTTGACTGTAGATGTTTACTGACTTTAACTGTTTTCTGAATGTAGCTGTTTGCTGACTGTTGACTGTAGCTGTTTGCTGACTGTAGCTGTTTGCTGACAGACTGTAACTGTTTGACTGTGGCTGTTTGCTGACAGACTGTAGCTGTTTGTTGACTTTAACTATTTGACTGTGACTGTTGACTGTGACTGTTTGCTGACTGTAACTGTTTGCTGACTTTAACTATTTGACTGTGACTGTTGACTGTGACTGTTTGTTGACTGTGACTGTTTGCTGACTGTAACTGTTTGCTGACTGTAACTGTTTGTTGACTTTAACTATTTGACTGTGACTGTTGACTGTGACTGTTTGCTGACTGTAACTGTTTGCTGACTGTGACTGTTTTTCTGACTGTGACTGTTTGCTGACTGTAACTATTTGCTGACTTTAACTGTTTTTTGACTGTGACTGTTTTTTGACTGTAACTGTTTGCTGACTTTAACTATTTGACTGACTGTTTGTTGACTGTAACTGTTTGCTGACTGTAACTGTTTGTTGACTGTAACTGTTTGTTGACTGTGACTTTTTGCTGACTCTGACTTTTTGCTGACTGTGACTGTTTGCTGACTGTGACTGTTTGCTGACTGTAACTGTTTGCTGACTGTAACTGTTTGCTGACTGTAGCTGTTTGCTGACAGACTTTAGCTGTTTGTTGACTGTAGATGTTTACTGACTTTAGCTGTTTGTTGACTGTAGATGTTTACTGACTTTAACTGTTTGTTGACATTAACTGTTGGTTGACATTAACTGTTGGTTGACTTTAGATGTTTACTGACTGTAACTGTTGGTTGACTGTAGCTGTTTACTGACTGTAGCTGTTTGCTGACTGTAGCTGTTTGCTGACTGTTTGCTGACAGACTGTAGCTGTTTGTTGACTGTAGATGTTTACTGACTGTAACTGTTGGTTGACTGTAGCTGTTTGCTGACTGTAACTGTTTGCTGACAGACTGTAGCTGTTTGTTGACTGTGGCTGTTTGCTGACAGACTGTAGCTGTTTGTTGACTGTAGCTGTTTGTTGACTGTAGCTGTTTGTTGACTGTAGCTGTTGACTGTAGCTGTTTGCTGACTGTGGCTGTTGACTGTAGCTGTTTGCTGACTGTAGCTGTTTGCTGACTTGTTGACTGTAGCTGTTTGCTGACTGTAGCTGTTTGCTGACTGTAGCTGTTTGCTGACTGTAGCTGTTTGCTGACTTGTTGACTGTAGCTGTTTGCTGACTGTAGCTGTTTGCTGACTTGTTGACTGTAGCTGTTTGCTGACTGTAGCTGTTTGTAGCTGTTTGCTGACTGTAGCTGTTTGTAGCTGTTTGCTGACTGTAGCTGTTTGCTGACTTGTTGACTGTAGCTGTTTGCTGACTTTAACTGTTTTCTGACTGTAGCTGTTTGCTGACTGTAGCTGTTTGCTGACTGTTTGCTGACAGACTGTAGCTGTTTGTTGACTGTAACTGTTGGTTGACTGTAGATGTTTGCTGACTGTAGCTGACTGTTGACTGTAGCTGTTTGCTGACTGTTGACTGTAGCTGTTTGCTGACTGTAGCTGTTGACTGTAGCTGTTTGCTGACTGTAGCTTTTTGCTGACTGTAGCTGTTTGCTGACTGTAGCTGTTTGCTGACTTGTTGACTGTAGCTGTTTGCTGACTTTAACTGTTTTCTGAATGTAGCTGTTTGCTGACTGTAGCTGTTGACTGTAGCTGTTTGCTGACTGTAGCTGTTTGCTGACTGTGGCTGTTTGCTGACTGTTTGCTGACAGACTGTAGCTGTTTGTTGACTGTAGATGTTTACTGACTGTAACTGTTGGTTGACTGTAGATGTTTGCTGACTGTAGCTGACATTTGACTGTAGCTGTTTGCTGACTGTTGACTGTAGCTGTTTGTTGACTGCAGATGTTTGCTGACTGTTTGCTGACTTTAACTGTTTGTTGAATGTTTGCTGACTTGTTGACTGTGGCTGGTTGCTGACTGTTGACTGTAGCTGTTTGTTGACTGGAGCTGTTTGCTGACTTTAATTGTTGGCTGACTGTAGCTATTTACTGACTGTTGACTGGAGCTGTTTGCTGACTGTTTGCTCACTATTGACTGTTTGTTGACTGTAGCTATTTGCTGACTTTAACTGTTTGTTGAATGTTTGTTGACTGTACCTGTTTGCTGACTTTTAACTGTTTGACTGTAGCTGTTTACTGACTGTTTGTTGACTGTTGACTGTAGCTATTTGCTGACTCTTCCTGTTTCCATGAACCCTGATTGACGACTAAGTCACATGACATTCTGAGCTCAACAGTAAACAGGTACTGATTGATGATGCATTGATCGCTGTCCCTGCAGGTGTCTTTCGCAGCGCTGGCAGAGAGGAGGAAACGCTTCCAACTCGTGCACGGTGCTGTCGCTGCTCGGAGCGCCCTGCGCCTTCATGGGCTCGCTGTCTGCTGGACCTGTGGCCGAGTGAGTACACATCAATCAGCACTACATCGATCATTACCTTCATCCAGAACTGTCTGAGGGCATCCTGTACATGTTCTATCAGTAAGAAGGAGACAACGGTATTTTAATAAATATTGTTGTGTATTATTTAGACTCAATTATTTAGACTCTGATTACAGGATCCACATCACTATTGATTGGGTCCATGGATGAAGGCTGAAGCGCTGAAGTGTCTCAGTTTAGTTTTATAGAGCCGTCCTTTCTTTCCATTTTTCCTTCTTTCCTTCCTCCTGCTCCATGTTTCCTCCTCTGCTTGATCTCTTTCTGTGTTTCCTCCTCTCTTTGATCTCTTTCCTTATTTCCTCCTCTCCTTGATCTTTTTCTGTGTTTCCTCCTCTGCTTGATCTCTTTCTGTGTTTCCTCCTCTCCTTGATCTCTTTCCTTATTTCCTCCTCTCCTTGATCTCTTTCCTTATTTCCTCCTCTCCTTGATCTCTTTCCTTATTTCCTCCTCTCCTTGATCTCTTTCCTTATTTCCTCCTCTCCTTGATCTCTTTCCTTATTTCCTCCTCTCCTTGATCTCTTTCCTTATTTCTTCCTCTCCTTGATCTCTTACTGTGTTTCCTCCTCCTCTCCTTGATCTCTTTGTTTCCTCCTCTCCTTGATCTCTTTCGGTGTTTCCTCCTCTCCTTGATCTCTTTCGGTGTTTCCTCCTCTCCTTGATCTCTTTCCTTATTTCCTCCTCTCCTTGATCTCTTACGGTGTTTCCTCCTCTCCTTGATCTCCTTCCGTGTTAACTCCTGTCCTTTATCTCTTTCGGTGTTTCCTCCTCCTCTCCTTGATCTCTTTCCTTATTTCTTCCTCTCCTTGATCTCTTTCGGTGTTCCCTCCTTTCCTTATTCTCGAGAGCAGCATATAGTAGTCAGTAGTTTTAGTTTGTTGGTTAGAAGAGATGTAAACTGTTTCCTGTCAGTTTTATTTTGGAGGATTTTCAGAAGTTCAACATCGATGTGTCGCTGTTGTCTGAGCACGCTCAATGTGCCCTTCCCGCCTCTGTGGTCATCAGCAACATCAGCACAGGAAGCCGCACCATCCTGCACATGAACAGGTGTGAAACAGGTGTGAGCAGGTGTGAACAGGAGTGTGTGTGTGTGTGTGTCACTAATGGCCTCTGTTTCAGGAACACTACCATCATCATCATTGCCATGGAGAACAGTTTCCCATCTGTCAGTGGTTTTATTTTGGAGGAGTTAATATGAAGCAGTTTCCTGTCTCTCTCTCTCCCCGTCAGTTTCATCATGGCTGACTTCTCACGGCATGCTGTCGATGTCTCGTCGCTGGTTTGGCAGGTAGAAGGTCAAACTCCGTGCGCATGTTGTGTGGTTTGTCCGTCCAGCGGATCTCGAACCGTCGTTCTCTCTGACACGTAAGACGACCGGACGACTTGCCGGCGTCACACAGCGTTCACCGAAGACCTCTTGATCAATGAGGCCTTGTTACTGTGTTATCACTCCTATACATCTGATAGAAAATGAATACATTCAAAACCTCATAAAAAAAGGACCTCGTTTAAGAGAACACATTACAGCAGCTGGTTTAGAGCTGAAGTACTGCAGGTATGTAGAACATGATAATAACCTGATTACCTAATTCAGAGACCGCATCAGCTGATAAATAATCAGTATGCTGTTGGTTCTGTGTTCTTGTTGACCATTTAAAGTAAACTGAGCTTTTTTAAGAGAATAATATGTATATAAGTAAAAGGGTAAATGTTTTGGATTGTATTGTGTCTGACTCGCTGTCCTGCTGCATTTCTTGGCCAGGGCACCCTTAAAAAAGAGATCTTATCTCAATGGGTCTTTCCCCCTAGTTATTAAATAAAGGTTAAATAAAAAATAATAAATAATAGAAGCTGTGAACAGTTCATTTATTTGTTGTGAAAATAAAAAACCTGGAATCGGATGAATCTGCTAACCTGTTTAATGAACCATGATGAACCTCCGAGGGCTAAAGAGAAAATGGGTTTAACCCCTCAAACTAACCGTAAAGGAATTTATAGTTCTGCATCAAACACGTGTTCTCTTGTTCCTTCTCATGAACGGGAACATATATACCCGACAAACACGAATGAACACGTTTCAGGCGAACGTCAGAATCTGAAGCTCCACCCGTCTGGTGCTGCAGGCAAATAAAACAAACCTTGAGGTGTTTTGTGAACGCTGTTTGACCCACCTGAAAGAAGCATGAGTATCTGATCTAATCTGATCTGGGTGTTACTGGTCGCCTGACCCGCTGCAGAGGGAGACATTGAGGTCCTGAACCTGAATGGATCCACCAATCAGACTGAGCGAAGGAAAATAAGAAAATGCAGACGAATGTTTGTTTGCTGAGGAGTCTGGAGGGCCGGTCCGTGATGGTCACTTCTCAGGTTTTATAGTAGTCTGCACCAGCTTCTAATGTTTGAACTCTCCTGGTGTAGATTAAAGTCCTCCTCTGACTCACAGGAAGTGCATGTCAGAGATCAGAAGTGTTATCAGAGGAAGTGTTCTCTGCAGAGTTTTCAGGAGCTTCTTGAAGTCAGAGAGGGACGCCGCTGCTCTGATGGCGTGCGGTAGCTCGTTCCACCATCGTGGTGTCACATATGAGAACAGGGACTGAGGTCGCTTTGTGTGAAGGGATGGCAGAGCCAGGCGGCGTTTGGTGGAGGAGCGCAGTGGCCCAGAAGGAACGTAGGCTTGGATTATGGAGTTTAGGTAGATGCTACAGACCCAGTAGTAGCTCTGGATGCAGCATTAGGGACTTCATCATCATCTCTCTCCTCTGGAAATAGGAGAAACCGCCAGGCTCTGCCTAAACTTTAGAGGAACGCCTCTCAACAAAGCTCTTTTGTTGACATGTTATGTCAGGTGTTTTATCCATGTGTGTCTATGTCATGCTAGGCTAACAGTCCTGGACCTCTCTGTGGACTCTGGGTCAGTCAGTTTGTTCACTGGGCTTCATCACGGACTCGTCACTTTGAGTCTCTGCAGTGTTTTGGGATTAATTTGTTGTCCATGATTCATTTAATCTCTCAGATGTTCAATCCGACCACGTTCACACTTAATATGATGAAAAATGTTCAGTGATTGGAGAAAGTTCTTTCAAAATCATCAGATCAGATTCAACAAACTTACCTGTCCAGTTGTTTTAAAGGTAACTTCAGTCAGCCCTCTCACAGACACTGAAGAGGCTTCCAATGACCTGATTCATCTCAGTAACCACAACGTGTCTTTACACAAGGGCCCTGAGTGGCTTCACTAAATACTGAAGGTGATGATTTTGAAGTGAACTCGCCACAAGTTTAATCTCTGAAATTCTTTGAATGACTGTTGAGGAAACTCCTCCCCCTCCATGAAACACACTGAGCAGGACAAAAAGGAAGATCAAATATTTAAGGGTCGTTCCCCTGGTCCTAGTTAGTCCTCCTGAGCCTGTGGGACCTCCTGAGTGATGGACGGATGGAGGGACGGAGGTGTTTCTGGACTCTGTTGGTTTATGAGGAATATAAACTCTGAACACATTTCCTGTCCCTCAGGAACCTTCCTGATGTCACAGCGGAGGATTTCTCCAAAGTCGACCTCCATCAGTTCAAGTGGATTCACTGGGAGGTTAGCGACGCTCCGAGTATCAGCTCAACAAAACCCGACTAATATGACTAACCAGTCTAACCCCAGTACCCAGCTAACCTGAAAACCTGGACTGAACCCAACTAGCAGAACCAACAGAACCAGCCCGACTAGACTGAGACTTCTGTCTCCATCTGACCTGTGAAAGAGACTTTATTTCAGAACACTTTAAAATCTGTCTCAAAGTTCAGTTTACTAACTTTATTGTTACTGTGAGAGGTCAAATACTGCTTCACTACTTCACAGTACACACACAGTAGTACAGTACAGTAGTATTATCTGGTTTCCATTGTGTTTTTGACTCTTCAGGGTCGAAATGCTGATGAGCAGGTGAAGATGATCCAACAGGTGGTGACGTATAACAGCACGTTGCCACAGCAACAGAGGATCACCGTCTCCGTGGAGTTAGAGAAGGCCAGAGACGCCCTGTATCAGCTGTTTCCTCACGGTGATGTGGTGCGAGTCTTTCACGGGACGCTGTTTACACTGTTTAACTGTCTGCAACGTGTAGAACATAAAGGCCCCTAGTTTAACAGTCTGAGCACACGCCGTGGAGCGCGTGGCGCAGGTGCGTTTAGGGCGTGTCCCTATCCAATTCTGCTACTACTAAAAAATGTTTGGTTGCACTTTGTCTGTGGACCACACCTCTTTTTCAGACCAACACTCCTAACCCTAAGCTCGGGCCACAAGTAGCCTACATTTACTTTGTTAAACTATGTGGGTGAAAAAATGACAACTGGGTCAGCTGGAAACTAGTAATGACACCTGCGCTGCACTTTGCACCGGGTGCTTGAAAGGGCGCCTGGAACGGGATGGAATCAGTCTGTCAGCTGTTCTTGTGTCTTCGGGTGGTCTCCTGTCTGTCAGCTGTTCTCCTGTCTGTCAGCTGTTCTCGTGTCTTCGGGTGGTCTCCTGTCTGTCAGCTCTTCTCGTGTCTTCGGGTGGTCTGTCTGTCAGCTCTTCTCGTGTCTTCGGGTGGTCTCGTGTCTTTGGGTGGTCTCCTGTCTGTCAGCTGTTCTCGTGTCTTCGGGTGGTCTCCTGTCTGTCAGCTCTTCTCGTGTCTTCGGGTGGTCTCGTGTCTTTGGGTGGTCTCCTGTCTGTCAGCTGTTCTCGTGTCTTCGGGTGGTCTCCTGTCTGTCAGCTCTTCTCGTGTCTTCGGGTGGTCTCGTGTCTTCGGGTGGTCTCCTGTCTGTCAGCTCTTTTCGTGTCTTCGGGTGGTCTGTCTGTCAGCTCTTCTCGTGTCTTTGGGTGGTCTCCTGTCTGTCAACTCTTCTCGTGTCTTTGGGTGGTCTCCTGTCTGTCAGCTGTTCTCGTGTCATGAGGTGGTCTCGTGTTTCGGGTGGTCTCCTGTCTGTCAGCTGTTCTCGTGTCTTCAGGTGGTCTCGTGTCTTCGGGTGGTCTCCTGTCTGTCAGCTCTTCTCGTGTCTTCGGGTGGTCTCCTGTCTGTCAGCTCTTCTCGTGTCTTCGGGTGGTCTCGTGTCTTTGGGTGGTCTCCTGTCTGTCAGCTGTTCTCGTGTCTTTGGGTGGTCTCCTGTCTGTCAGCTGTTCTCGTGTCTTTGGGTGGTCTCCTGTCTGTCAGCTGTTCTCCTGTCTGTCAGCTCTTCTCGTGTCTTTGGGTGGTCTCCTGCCTGTCAGCTGTTCTCGTGTCTTCGGGTGGTCTCGTGTCTTCGGGTGGTCTCCTGTCTGTCAGCTCTTCTCGTGTCTTCGGGTGGTCTCCTGTCTGTCAGCTCTTCTCGTGTCTTCGGGTGGTCTCCTGTCTATCAGCTCTTTTCGTGTCTTCGGGTGGTCTGTCTGTCAGCTCTTCTCGTGTCTTTGGGTGGTCTCCTGTCTGTCAACTCTTCTCGTGTCTTTGGGTGGTCTCCTGTCTGTCAGCTGTTCTCGTGTCATGAGGTGGTCTCGTGTTTCGGGTGGTCTCCTGTCTGTCAGCTGTTCTCGTGTCTTCAGGTGGTCTCGTGTCTTCGGGTGGTCTCCTGTCTGTCAGCTCTTCTCGTGTCTTCGGGTGGTCTCCTGTCTGTCAGCTCTTCTCGTGTCTTCGGGTGGTCTCGTGTCTTTGGGTGGTCTCCTGTCTGTCAGCTGTTCTCGTGTCTTTGGGTGGTCTCCTGTCTGTCAGCTGTTCTCCTGTCTGTCAGCTCTTCTCGTGTCTTTGGGTGGTCTCCTGCCTGTCAGCTCTTCTCGTGTCTTCGGGTGGTCTCGTGTCTTCGGGTGGTCTCCTGTCTGTCAGCTGTTCTCGTGTCTTCGGGTGGTCTCCTGTCTGTCAGCTCTTCTCGTGTCTTCGGGTGGTCTCCTGTCTATCAGCTCTTTTCGTGTCTTCGGGTGGTCTGTCTGTCAGCTCTTCTCGTGTCTTTGGGTGGTCTCCTGTCTGTCAACTCTTCTCGTGTCTTTGGGTGGTCTCCTGCCTGTCAGCTCTTCTCGTGTCATGAGGTGGTCTCATGTTTCGGGTGGTCTCCTGTCTGTCAGCTGTTCTCGTGTCTTCAGGTGGTCTCGTGTCTTCGGGTGGTCTCCTGTCTGTCAGCTCTTCTCGTGTCTTTGGGTGGTCTCCTGTCTGTCAGCTCTTCTCGTGTCATGAGGTGGTCTCGTGTCTTCGGGTGGTCTCCTGCCTGTCAGCTCTTCTCGTGTCATGAGGTGGTCTCATGTTTCGGGTGGTCTCCTGTCTGTCAGCTGTTCTCGTGTCTTCAGGTGGTCTTGTGTCTTCGGGTGGTCTCCTGTCTGTCCGCTGTTCTCGTGTATTCAGGTGGTCTAGTGTCTTCGGGTGGTCTCCTGTCTGTCAGCTGTTCTCGTGTCTTCAGGTGGTCTTGTGTCTTCGGGTGGTCTCCTGTCCGTCAGCTGTTCTCGTGTCTTCAGGTGGTCTTGTGTCTTCAGGTGGTCTCCTGTCTGTCAGCTGTTCTCATGTCTTCGGGTGGTCTCCTGTCTGTCAGCTGTTCTCGTGTCTTCAGGTGGTCTCCTGTCTGTCAGCTGTTCTCGTGTCTTCGGGTGGTCTCCTGTCTGTCAGCTGTTCTCGTGTCTTCGGGTGGTCTCGTGTCTTCAGCTGTTCTCGTGTCTTTGGGTGGTCTCCTGTCTGTCAGCTGTTCTCGTGTCTTCGGGTGGTCTCGTGTCTGTCAGCTGTTCTCGTGTCTTCGGGTGGTCTCGTGTCTTCAGCTGTTCTCGTGTCTTCAGGTGGTCTTGTGTCTTCGGGTGGTCTCCTGTCTGTCAGCTGTTCTCGTGTCTTCGGGTGGTCTCCTGTCTGTCAGCTGTTCTCGTGTCTTCGGGTGGTCTCGTGTCTTCAGCTGTTCTCGTGTCTTTGGGTGGTCTCCTGTCTGTCAGCTGTTCTCATGTCTTCGGGTGGTCTCCTGTCTGTCAGCTGTTCTCGTGTCTTCAGGTGGTCTCCTGTCTGTCAGCTGTTCTCGTGTCTTCGGGTGGTCTCCTGTCTGTCAGCTGTTCTCGTGTCTTCAGGTGGTCTTGTGTCTTCGGGTGGTCTCCTGTCCGTCAGCTGTTCTCGTGTCTTCAGCTGTTCTCGTGTCTTCAGGTGGTCTTGTGTCTTCGGGTGGTCTCCTGTCTGTCAGCTGTTCTCGTGTCTTCGGGTGGTCTCCTGTCTGTCAGCTGTTCTCGTGTCTTCGGGTGGTCTCGTGTCTTCAGCTGTTCTCCTGTCTTTGGGTGGTCTCCTGTCTGTCAGCTGTTCTCGTGTCTTCGGGTGGTCTTGTGTCTTCGGGTGGTCTCCTGCCTGTCAGCTCTTCTCGTGTCTTCGGGTGGTCTCCTGCCTGTCAGCTCTTCTTATGTCTTCGGGTGGTCTCCTGTCTGTCAGCTCTTCTCGTGTCTTCAGGTGGTCTCCTGTCTGTCAGCTCTTCTCGTGTCATGAGGTGGTCTCTTGTTTCGGGTGGTCTCCTGTCTGTCAGCTGTTCTCGTGTCTTCAGGTGGTCTCGTGTCTTCGGGTGGTCTTGTGTTTGTTAGCTGTTCTCGTGTCTTCGGGTGGTCTCCTGTCTGTCAGCTCTTCTCGTGTCATGAGGTGGTCTCATGTTTCGGGTGGTCTCCTGTCTGTCAGCTGTTCTCGTGTCTTCAGGTGGTCTTGTGTCTTCGGGTGGTCTCCTGTCCGTCAGCTGTTCTCGTGTCTTCAGCTGTTCTCGTGTCTTCAGGTGGTCTCGTGTCTTCGGGTGGTCTCCTGTCTGTCAGCTGTTCTCGTGTCTTCGGGTGGTCTCCTGTCTGTCAGCTGTTCTCGTGTCTTCGGGTGGTCTCGTGTCTGTCAGCTGTTCTCGTGTCTTCGGGTGGTTTCCTGTCTTCAGCTGTTCTTGTGTCTTCAGCTGTTCTTGTGTCTTTAGCTGTTATCGTGTCTTTAGGTGGTCTTGTGTCTTCAGCTTTTTTGTGTCTTTAGGTGGTCTTGTGTCTTCAGCTGTTCTTGTGTCTTCAGCTGTTCTTGTGTCTCTAGCTGTTATCGTGTCTTTAGGTGGTCTTGTGTCTTCAGCTGTTCTTGTGTCTCTAGCTGTTATCGTGTCTTTAGGTGGTCTTGTGTCTTCAGCTGTTCTTGTGTCTTCAGGTGTTTGTCAGTAAAGACGTTGCTCGTCACTTCGGGTTCCTGTCTGCTGAAGCTGCTCTGAAAGGACTCTACAGTCGGGTCAAAAAGGGGTGAGTGAAAGACAAAGGTCTCTCTACCTAACCTGTCTCTCTCTGTGACCTGTCTCTCTCTCTCTCTGACTCTGACCTGTCTGTCTGTACCTACCCTGTCTCTCTCTCACCTGTCTCTCTCAATACAATTCAATTCAAATTAGCTTTATTGGCATGAATGTGTAACAACAACATTGCCAAAGCATCATACATACTACATAAGAACAATCAACCCCATAAATTTCATTAATTAAAAGTAATCAAAGCGTATGTGTTTAATTTTAAAAATTAAAATATAAATATATAAATAGTAAGAGTATGTGTGTGTGTGTGTGTGTGTGTGTGTGTGTGTGTGTTAAAAAATAAAAATATATTTAAAAAATGAAATAAAAAAATAAATGAAACAGTAAGTGTGTGTGTGTGTGTGTGTGTGTGTGTGTGTTAAAAAATAAAATATATTAAAATAAATAAAACAGTAAGTGTGTGTGTGTGTGTGTGTGTGTGTGTGTGTTAAAAAATAAAAATATATTAAAATAAATAAAACAGTAAGTGTGTGTTAAAAAATAAAAATATATAAAAAAATAAATAAAATGAATAAATGAAACAGTAATGTGTGTGTGTGTGTGTGTTAAAAAATAAAAATAAATTAAAATAAATAAAACAGTAAGTGTGTGTGTGTGTGTGTGTGTGTGTGTGTGTGTTAAAAAATAAAAATATATAAAAAAATAAATAAAATGAATAAATGAAACAGTAATGTGTGTGTGTGTGTGTGTGTGTTAAAAATAAAAATATATTAAAATAAATAAAACAGTAAGTGTGTGTGTGTGTGTGTGTGTGTGTTAAAAAATAAAAATATATAAAAAATGAATAAATGAAACAGTAATGTGTGTGTGTGTGTGTGTGTGTGTTAAAAAATAAAAAATATTAAAATAAAAAACAGTAAGCGTGTGTGTGTTTAAAAAATAAAAATAAATAAATAAAATGAATAAATGAAACAGTAATGTGTATGTGTGTGTATTAATAGACAAATGTTTTTTTTAATTAATTGATCAAAAAAAATCAGTGTCAAATTGTAAAAACAAATATCAAATGATCAAAATAATAATAATTTGAAAATCTGTACAATTATTTGTTAGTCTGAGGTTCCACTGGTTGTCCTCACTTCATTTGGGCATTTCTCCCAGTAAATAGGGGAGTTTCTGTGTGTCTGATATGAATTCGAATTCGGGGTGTATTTGGGAAATGTTTGCAAAGTGTTTTTGTCTTAGTGTTTTATATTTGGGGCATGAGGTTAGAAAGTGCAGCTCTGTCTCTACCTGTGCCCTGTCACACGGTGAGCAGAGTCTGTCCACTTGTGGTAGCCAGCTCTGTCTGTGGCGACCCTTTTCTATGGCCAGGCTGTGTTCACTCAGTCTGTATGTTGTCAACATTTTTCTTAGTTTGGGACATTTTATTGTACTCAGGTAATTTGTGTGAATTCTCTTTTTAGGGTCAGATAACATTGGAATTTACTTTGTGTTTTGGTCGTTTCTTTCCAGTATTCAATATATTTTTCTTTCTGCTTGCTGATAATTTGGTTTGGTCTGCTTGAGTTGGTGTTGCTGTCCTGAGGCTGTTGGGGACTTGTTACTGCAGAGAGCCTCAGGACCAGCTGGCTGAGGGGACTCTTCTCTGGTTTCAGCTCCTGGTATGTTAGGGCTTTGTGAGGATATGTCTGGGGGTTAACTGATTTTAAGTGATTGTAAAATTTAAGTGATCTTTTCTGTATTTTTAGTAGGAGGGGGTATTGGTCGAGCTCTGCTCTGCACAGGTTATTTGGTGTTTCTCTCTGCACCTGCAGGATGCTCTTACAGAACTCAGTATGGAAAGATTCTATGATTGTTTTTTCCCATTTGTCAAATTCATTATTAAGTTTTGGCCCCCAGCTACCATAAAGAATTATTGGTTCTAGTACAAATTGGAAATACTTCAGCCAGATATCAATTGGAATATATATTTTACTGTTTCTTTTTATTGCATAGAAAGCTCTCCTTGCTTTGTCCCTCAGATCTTTCACGGCCATGTTGAAGTTCCCTGTGTATGTTGAGGCCGAGGTAAGTGTAGTTTTTTGTGTGTTGTAATTTAGTGGTGTCTAAATAGAAATTGTGTGTAACCTGATTTCTGTATTGTTTCTGAAAGATCATTATCTTAGTCTTTGCTGTGTTTACTGTCAGGGTCCAGGTCTGACAGAATCTCTGAAGGAGGTTAAGGTGCTGCTGCAAACCTTCTTTAGTAGGTGAGAGCAACACTAAGTCATCTGCATACAGCAGACCTCTGATCTCGTTCAGGAGGAGGCCAGGTGCCATGGAACTCTCTAATTGGTTTGCTAATTCATTGAAATATAGGTTGAAGAGAATTGGACTGAGATTGCATCCCTCCCCTGGGAGAAGAACGCTGTTTGTTTGTTTCCAATCTTTATGGCACATTCACTTTTTGTATACATGTTCTTAATCAAATCATATCTTTTTCCTCCAGTACCACTTTCAAGTAGCCTATAGAAGAGGCCCTCGTGCCAGATGGAATCAAAGGCTTTTTGGAAGTCAACAAAACAGGCATATAACTTTCTTTTGATTTTTGATCAATTAGAGTCTGGAGGGTAAATATATGGTCCGTTGTGCGGCAATTTGGCAAAAAAACAATATGGCATTTATGCAGAATATTGTGGTTATCAACAAAGTTAACAAGTCGTTTATTAATGATGTTGCATAATATTTTTCCCAGGTTACTGGATACACATATTTCTCTGTAGTTATTTGGGTCATATTTATCTACGGATTCATGAATTGGGGTTATTAAACCTTTGTTCCAGATGTCTGGAAAAGTTCCAGTTGCTAGAATAGTATTGAATAGTTTTAGTATAGCCAATCTGATTTTATGGTCTGAGTATTTGATCATTTCGTCAATACCACAAGCCCTTTTTTCCTTTCAGGGACTGGATGACTTCTGTTAATTCTTGTTCTGTTACAGGGTAATCTAGAGGGTTCTGGTTGTTTTTTATCACCGCCTCCAGAGTTTTCCATTTTGTGAATATCTTGTACTGATCATCATTTTTTGTAATATTACTGTATAATTCACTAAAGTGATTAATCCAAGTATTTCCATCTTGGATCGGCAATTCATCCTGCTGGGTTTTGTTTAGGTTGTTCCATTTCTCCCAGAACTGGTTGGATTCCTCAGTTTCACAGAGCTGATTCTTGCTGTGTTGTTCTTTCTTAGTTTTTAGGGTGTACTTGTATTGTTTAAGAGTGGCCTCATATTGACAGCGTATGTTGTGGTTATCTGGGTTCCTGTGCTTTTCATTTGATAATTTCCTTAAAGTTTTCCTCAGGTTTTTGCATTCAGTGTCAAACCATTTGTTATTGTTCATTTGTTGAGGTCTTGGTTCGGAGGCTTTCAAATTAGACAATGAAGCCAAATGATGAAATATTGAATTGATTTTGTCCACAGCAGAATTTACACCATAATTATTCTGGGGAAATGTTTCAGTTAGAAATAAATGAGTTAAATCATGTATGTTTTGATTTTCCAGTGCCTTTTGGTACACCCCCATGCTGTCTGGGCTCCATCTGTATGGGTATGTGCTGTTAAACAGTTCACAGGCACTAGGGGCCCCACACTTAGACTGAGCCCTTTTCAGATAGATAGAGATTTTGCTGTGGTCTGAGAGGGGTGTGAGGGGGCTGACTGTGAAAGACATTGGATCTAGATCTGTAATGAAATAATCTACCGTACTATTGCCAAGAGCTGAGCTGTAAGTGTAGCGACCCAGAGAGTCCCCTCGTAGCCCGCCGTTGACTGTGTACAGACCCAGAGAGTCCCCTCGTAGCCCGCCGTCGACTGTGTACAGACCCAGAGAGTCCCCTCGTAGCCCGCCGTTGACTCTGTACAGACCCAGAGAGTCCCCTCGTAGCCCGCCGTTGACTCTGTACAGACCCAGAGAGTCCCCTCGTAGCCCGCCGTTGACTGTGTACAGACCCAGAGAGTCCCCTCGTAGCCCGCCGTTGACTCTGTACAGACCCAGACAGTCCCCTCGTAGCCCGCCGTTGACCCTGTACAGACCAAGCGTACGGCAGAGCTGGAGAAGCTGCATACCGCTTGTATTAGTCAGCTTGTCAAAGCTCTTTCTAGCAGGACATTCAGGGAGGGGGAAGCAGGTGCTTCCAGGTAAGTGTTTGTCTCCCTGGGTGTTCATAGTTGCAGCTCTTTCCGCTGTTCGAGCGTTCAAGTCTCCACAGATTAATACATTTCCCATGGTTTTATAATGGTTAACTTCCTCCTCAAGAATAGAGAAAGTATCTGGGTTGTAGTAGGGGGATTCTGATGGAGGTATATAGATGGCACACATGTAGACATGTTGCTCAGCACAAATCATCTGTTTGTTCATTTTCAACCATATATAAGCTTCTTCTTGTTTAATAACTGTGATGGACTGGCTCAGTTCTGATTTACACCATATAATCAGGCCTCCTGAATCTCTGCCTTGGGTTATTGTGGGATTTTTTGTTGATGGTATAATAATCTCAGTGTAGCCGTGAGGACGACCAGTGGAAACATCTTCTCTGCACCATGTCTCCTGTAAAACTATGATGTCAGAGTCTTTAACTGTCTATTAAAATCTGGATTTCTGCTCTTTAAACCAAAAGCTGATGATCTCAGACCTCGAATGTTCCAACATGTTATTGTGAACGATTTCATCTCCAAGTGTTCAAAAATTAGACAAACACCTTAAAAAACAAATAATAATAATAGTAAACTATATTAAAAAATAATACTAGTAACAAACGAAAAGGGAAGAAAAAGTGTAAAAAGAGGAAAATAGTGTTGTAGGTAAATGAATAAAATATTAAACTTTGAGTGACATTTTTGGATTTTCATCCAGGAACTTCCCATTAGAGTCCATGAGGAGGATAATGTCAGCCCTTCTGCCTGTGTGTTTGTTCAGACTCTGTCGGGTCTGGATGTGGAGCTGTGGTGGTGGTTTCAGGTCTGGAGCTCCTAGTTGGAGGCTGGCTAGAGGCCGGTCCTTGGACAGGTGCAGGGTTGTGACTGGCGTCTTGGCTTGGGATGTTTGTATGGAGGCAGCTGGTTGGTACAAGGGGGGGATTAGAGTCTGCACCAGGCTGTGTGAGAGGGGGGGAGTCCTCGAGGAAAGGGCTGTGTTGTAGTGGGAGTTTGGCTGGATGTGGTCTGGGTCTGAGAGGCGGGCACAGGGGTTTGTGTGGAGTTCAGTCTGGCTTGTAGACTGAGCCTGTCCCGGTCCTCTAGCTCTTCTCTCAGAGTAGCCAACTCAGTTCTGCAGTTGTCTCTGTCCTTCCTAAGTTCCTTCACCTCCTCACTGAGATGATCCAGCTGTCTTCTCTGACGAGTTAGTTCTTGTTGAAACTCTCTCAGCTGTGAGTTGACACTGTCCTGTTCTTTCACTGACAATAGGAGAGCTAGGCTGCTGTTGGTCCAGCTGCTCTCTGATCTGGACCAGTTCTATTGTTCTCTCATGATGTCCAGGGCCTCAGAGTGCTGTAGCAGGAGAGGATCAGTGTCAGCATCTGCAGGCTGTCTGTCTGGAGCAGGGACAGAACAGGACCGTTTGACTCCCAGGGTTGGAGCGATGCTTGCGAGGACCTCATTCTCCTTCTCAGCTCTCAGTCTCATAGCAGGAAAGTCGAGCTCAAACTGTCTCAGGTCACCTTGTATCGTGGCAGTTCCATTTTTGAACAGGTTTACTGTTATTCTGCTGGTGTCAGAGTCATTTTCTTCCAGTACACTTATTTTCCATCCATTACAAATGCCTGCTCTCTTTATTGCTGGGTCATGAGAGCTGAACACATTCAGCCAGGCACATGGTTCAGCCGTCCAGAAGATTAAATATGCAGGATCTTCCATCTTTGTAGTGGTCCAGGAACAGGATTTCTGGTCTTTCTCGAAGTAATGTTTGTTTATATTTTCCCCTTGCAGTTTTTCTTTTGATAGCTGGGGGGTAGTCAATGGTTTCAGAGTGTGGAGACATCATGAAACAGTTGTTGATGATGATGTGTTTAAAACAGCACTACTGCTGTTTGATGCCGTTGCTAGGTAACCACAGTCCAGTGTTAGCTTGTTAGCTATTAGCTTGAGTGGTTTATGGTAATAAATGCAAATACTTACTGATTTCAGTGTCTCTCTTTCTTTCTCCTTCTTTTTCCTCTTTTTCTCTCCTCTGGTGTATTCTGGTCACTTCTTTTGCATTTTCCTCATAAAAAGTTGGTGTTTATCCAATTTTTGGACCGAAAACAAGCGTTTTGTTTAGCAGCAAGTCTTAAACATGACTTCCCTGTCTCTCTCTCTGTGACTTGTCTCTCTCTGTGACTTGTCTCTCTCTTTGTGACCTGTCTCTCTCACCTGTCTCTCTCTCTGTGACTTGTCTCTCTCTTTGTGACCTGTCTCTCTCACCTGTCTCTCTCTCTGTGACTTGTCTCTCTCTTTGTGATCTGTCTCTCTCTTTGTGACCTGTCTCTCTCTCTCTGTGACCTGTCTCTCTCACCTGTCTCTCTTTCTGTAACTTATCTCTCTCTCTGTGACCTGTCTCTGTGACCTGTCTCTCTTTCTGTGACCTGTCTCTCTCTCTGTGACCTGTCTCTCTCACCTGTCTCTCTCTGTGTGACCTGTCTCTCTGTGAGCGGTCTCTCTCTCTGTAACTTGTCTCTCTCACCTGTCTCTCTCTCTGTAACTTGTCTCTCTCTCTGTGACCTGTCTCTCTCTCTCTGACCTGTCTCTCTCACCTGTCTCTCTCTCTGCGACTTGTCTCTCTCTGTGACTTGTCTCTCTCTTTGTGACCTGTCTCTCTCACCTGTCTCTCTCTCTGCGACTTGTCTCTCTCTTTGTGATCTGTCTCTCTCTTTGTGACCTGTCTCTCTCACCTGTCTCTCTCTCTGTGACTTGTCTCTCTCTGTGACTTGTCTCTCTCTTTGTGACCTGTCTCTCTCACCTGTCTCTCTCTCTGTGACTTGTCTCTCTCTGTGACTTGTCTCTCTCTGTGACTTGTCTCTCTCTTTGTGACCTGTCTCTCTCACCTGTCTCT